CAAAGATAGAATTTAATTTAAAGGATGTAAGGTTTTGATATCAGTTTTCCTACTGTGAAGCCATTCATATTAATCTGATAATTGGCATTCACATGTCATGGGAAGGCAACTTTGCTAGTGTAATGTGCAAATTCAGTCACCGTGCACAACTAAAGCTGTTTCTCACTGACTTTAACTCCATGACATTAAAGACCACAGGGCTGTACACAATCTTGGTTCAACCCAGGATTTTCCAACTCCTTCTCTATGGGACTTGTATGGTGATTACTATAAAAGGAGTGAGTGACCCAGAGCCTACTTAGAAGGAGAATCTCCAATATGGATATATTAGTATGTCATCTCATAAAGAAATGGAAAATACCTATCAAAGGGAAAGTCTTGAGAAGAAACCTGGCATATGAAAAAGGCCTCGACCTATTAGCTTCTGATCAACTTACTGTTAAATTTATTGCCTTCATGTCATTTTGGAAAATTAAAAGAAAGCATGGTGAATTGAAGTGTGATGTTGCTTGTTTGGTACAACAGCGGGGTGAGGATAATGAAGAGCCCTGTGATCCCGAGGAGATGGCCTAATCCAAGGAGAGGGAGGCTCCAGGACATGTGGACTCACATGGGGATCCTGCTTCTGCGCATCCATCAGCCACTCCCAGAAGCCTTCAGGAGACAGGGGTGTGGGTGGGCCCTTGAGACGATCCAGTGAGAACTGGAAGTCAAGAAAAGACAATGATCTGGGATAAATTTTTTAAAAATTTCTTTTAAATTCACAAATTATGGTTGTTTAGATTTACAAGGTAAGAAACAATGTTATGATTTGTGAATGTAATATGGAATAACTATGATAATTAAGATTTAAGATAGTTTTCATTAATCACCTCAAATTCTTATCATTTATTGTGACATTTGAAATTTACTCTGAGCTCTTTGGAAATGACCAATATGCTATTTTTAAATGAACAACTAGAAATCAATTCATGTAAACAAATAAAAGCAACTGAAATCAATTAGGAATTTAAAGATTTACACTTAGTCCATCATTAGTTTGATTCTTCAGAAAATATTTTTGGAATTATTTTGTTTTAATGTTTAATATGAATGCCTAGTATATATGCATAGGTCTGTGTATTTATACATCTTTCTATTTCTTTTTTTTTTTGTGAGATGGTGAATTGCCCTGTTGTCCAGACTGGAGTACCGTGGCACAATCTCAGCTCACTGCAACCTCCGTCTGCTGGGTTGAAGCAATTCTTCTACCTCAGCCTCAGGGGATTACAGGTGTGTGTTACCACACCCGGACACATTTTGCATTTTTAAAAGAGACGGGCTTTTGCCATGTTGGCCAGGCTTGTCTCGAACTCCTAACCTCAAGTAATTCACATGCCTCGGTCTCCCGACGACCTGGGATTACAGGCACGAACCACCGCGCCCGGCGTGTACATATTTCTATGGCCATATATTTATGTCCCTATAGCTATGTAGTTGCTGATGTCAACAAATGTTCGTAAAATTCTGGGGGAATTAGTGCAAATAATTAGGAATGTGTATTTCTTGAAAGTATATACTTAAAAATACTTACAGAATTTTAATAATTATTAAAATTTAAATACTAACGATAATAAATTCATAATAAATACAAGTAATATAATATCACAGCCTAGAACGCTCCAGAGTTCTGCAAATACAATCCTGACTTTTCCAGCTGAGGACAAAGGAAACCTCCCCCTGCA